ATAGAACTAGTAAGGGTGTTCGATTTGCACGTGTAAAACACGAGTCCCTATGCTATAAACTCGTAACGACAGGCCCTAAGCCGCGGTTTAGGGCCTGTCGTTACGAGTTTATAGCTTAGGGACTGGCATTTTTACACGTATCGTTATTTGGAAGAAGGGAAGGGCCCTGGACACGATTCCAGCAGAATACTAAACGCCCTGACTGATATAATGCGCCTTAATGCCGAATATTTACATTTTCTATTAATGTGTGTAATATAAACAGTCCATTTAGGTATAGAGAAACACACAAATAAATACAATAAGAATTAATTGGGATTTGTTTTACTTTAATAGAACTCTCTCTCTCTCTCTCTCTCTATCTCCTTCTCTCTTTTAGTTACTGGCACGCTTCATTCAACTTCCCTCATCCATCACGGGCTTTATGTTAACGGAAGTAGACGAGAGGATCGCGTCCCGTGACGTTGCCGAATCGGAAGTGACGAAGAAATCCCACCACGTGACCTCTAAAATTTCAATAAAAAGAAAACGAATGGTCCATTAGCCGCGAGGATAGCTGGTAGGAAAGTGGTGAGTAGATGAGGCGGAAGATGGATTTATTCCCCCCTTCTTCTTTTTTTTTTTTCTGTTAACAATAACAATTTACAGTAGAGTTAACGAGCTGCACAATTTCTCTCCATTCGTCCGCGTTTAGAGATTCGAAAATTATATACGAAACACTAAAACACTTGGATTTAGAGCACTAAAATCGTTCAGAAATGGATCTAGAACACTAGAAATGGTTCTAGAACTCTACTGGAAGGATGGGAAAAGTTGACGCGAAGAAGAGCGTGAGTCCGGTCGTCTGTCCGTAACCTCCCCTTCTCCTTTCTTAGTGGCAGGAAGTGGGCGCATCAGACGAGGGGGGGGGGCGTCCACTAGACGTCGTTGGTTACTTAGCAATATGTTGGAGTGATATATCGTCACCTAACGAGTAGCGAACGCGCGAACTCTTAACGACCCGACGTAAACGTTTCCTTTGCAGAAGGCATCTGACTCACGCCTCAGCTCATGCATGGATGAGACCAATAGCGACCAACTACCACCCGCCGTCCTGCGACGGAAGCGATGGATGGTGGTGTGCCATTAGCACGAGGCCAGGGCGTGACTGCCGCTGTTTTGGCAGCGCAGAAAGTGATATTGATTGTCCTTCTCAACACAAATCATTCACAATATTCAGTCGGAGGCGAGAAACTAGTCTGACACCAGCACATTGTCCGATCTGGTGTTAAATGCGCTTCTCTCTCTCTCTCTCTCTCTCTCGCGCGCTCTTTTTTTTTTTTACACTCCTTTTTTTCTGGTTTCCTCGAAGTGTTGATTCACTCTCCGCCAAAAGCCGCTATTCGGAACGACGTTTGTCGCCTATGTGTGACGCAACAATCAATTTCCTCAGCGCTTAATAGCAAGAATATTCCGTAGATTAACGCTTTTCCGGACGTTACGGGTTTTAAATTTAAAGCGTAACACTAAAAAAAAAAAAAAAAAAAACAGCGTAACATTAACGTAACACGTAACGATTAAGCTTAGATAACGTATTTAAACGTTTTTTTCTCTTCGAAATTTCAAGCGACGTAAGTTACGTCACACAGAAGTAGTGTTTTTTTTCTTTTTTGTTTTGTTTTGTTTTTATTTTAAAGCGTAACAAAGAGGCAATTAGGCGACTCGGACTTTTTCTGAATGGTTCCATAATTACCAATTCAAATATTTGGATCGGTTAAACTCCAACGTAAACAAGTGAAGGAGGAACACAATGGAGCATTCACTTGTTGTTAACAAGCGAACGGAATCGTTAAATCGAGACAAACAGTTAAAACGGAAAGAGGGAATAGAAGGAGGAGGGAGGGAGGGGAAAAAAAAAGCCTATTTGACAGACATTCGGTGGAAAAACACTCGAAGGATCGCTGAACCGTAACAACCGAGTGGCCACCATTTCGACCAATGGTCCGTAGCACGTGCAACATCAAACGGAGCAGAAACCAATCATCGACGTTTATTCGCTTCTTCCGTCGCTCACCCTCCAACAAAACTAGGTTAAGTTAGTGTTTTTTTTCCTTTCTTTTTCGGGCATTTTTTTATATTTTTTTTAGACAGAAAAGGAAGAAACGAGGGCAAAAATCGACTTTTGTAAATTAGGTGTTTGAGAATTTCGATAGCGATGTGAGTGTGGGGAAGGGGGAGGTTATGAACGTTGACGTCACGGATTCGGTAGAAGAAAGGAGGAGGAAGATTGACGCTCGACCGAGCACAGACAACGTCTGTCAAATTCGGCTTATTCCGCTGGATTGGAGTTAGAGCATTAGAGTCCAGGTTAGAGACCGTTTCAAGAAGAAGAAGAAGAAGAAAAAAAAAAAGAAAACGTTCGCTCTCCCCTTTGCACTCGGGGCGAAAGTCCGAAAATCTTCTCCCTCCTCAGATGAATGCCGCGATACCGACAACCAATAAGAATCTTCGTCTGTGATCTTCGTTAGGAAGTAAAAAAATTCGCCCCCGTAAAAACGTCCCTAATTTTCGTGACGTCTCGGCAACTAGATGGGTGGATCCTGATTCGATTACCGGGAATTAAATATAACGTTTGGGATGGAAGCAACGTGTCTGTTGTGCCGATGTCGATGGATACTTTGTCAAAGGCATCCGTCTGGAAATTAAGGTCACAGATGATTTGTTCTCCGTCCGATGCCATGTCATTAAGGCTTAGATGACAACACTGGCATCTTCCTCGTCTTTCCTCCGACACTAAGTCGGCCGGACTCTAATCTAATTTTTATAAATAAAAAACTTTTCCCGTAATAATCTTCCGTGTAAAAAATTGACCTCTTTCGTTTAACTATTCTCGCTGACGTTTTAATTACGTAGCAAAAAAAAAAAAAAACGTACGTGTGCGACTCCTAATGTTGCCAGATTTTTAATAAATTTAATTATTTATTTAAGATTATTTTAAAAGTATTAATTAGAAACGTACCTCGAAATATTATTCTAATATATATATATATTTTTTTAAAATTCTCTTTGCCACTCCCTTTACGAACTTCTTTCAAGCCGACGTCGAATTACTTTATAAAATATGCGCCGCCATCTGTCGACGAATATTGCTATTAAATATTATTTTAACTTTTAATTAAAATATTAAAAATGTATTCGTATTTTTGTCATTATCTAAACTCGAAATTAATTATTAATAATTTTGTTAATTATAAATTGGAAAATTTATTTTAGATTATTTAAGAACAATTCTGTAAAAATTAAAAAAGCGCTCCCTACCAATTAAAAAAAAAAAAAAAGAAAATCGCTTTTTGTTGAAATTGTTTAATTTTAAGGAACGTAAATAGACNGTGCTTCATTTAAATAATTCCTAACATGAAATAGTATTAATTTATAGTTTTAAAATAAAAGTGATATTCTAAATATTTTTGAAAAAATAATTTTAAAACTTACATATGTAATGTTAAGAAAAACATGAAATATTCACAGTTGAAAATAATCAATATTTACTAATATTGTACAGTGTGTCCCAAGAGTATAGATGATCTATATTTTTTTATTATTATTATTTTTTAGATTAAGTATTTTTTAACAATGCGAGTGGTTATTATTGTTTATTTGTAACACAAATACAATGTTATATAATTGTTTTTAGAATATTTGACAATTACGTAGTGTTAAAACAGTAATTTCCTCGACACTACAGCCTTCTGCTTTTAATTTCCATATTTATGGAATTTCTTCCTTACTAAACTCTTCCGTGTGGAATTTTGAAACGTTTTTGATTCAGTATTTAAAATATTATTTTCGGTTTCGGCCGAATAATTGGTTGGAACTCCAATAGACGAAAAGATTACAGAAAACGAACCGCCATTAATTTAATATATAAAACGAAATGTTATTGGTTTTGAGAAATTTGAAAACAATTTGTCTGTAATTGCGAAGGAATCGGTTCGAATCTGTTCAGAAATTTTCATGGATTGATTCAAATGTGTATAAGACCCGACCCTCGTTGTTGGTCTAACGTAGCTCTTGTCGGCTGTTAGTGCCTACAGCGCTTTTCAGGTACAGTGCTTTTTAAATAACGCAACACTTGGGCGATCTGCCGAGGGGATACCTTCCAAAAGGTCTTAGTTAATCTTAGTTAAAGGAAACCCCTATTTAGTAGGCGTTACAAACGTGGAGTAAACCAGGAAAACTCCACGTGACCAGCCCGTCCGAGCGAGGCGCGAACCCACGACCGAACTCCCAGTGTTCAGGGTACAAAGACCCCTTGGCCAGTGGTGGGCGCGAGAACAACTTTATTGTCCGAAATTAAATCGCTTTCTAGGGTAATTCACAAATGATACACCAATTGCGTTGTTTAATTTTTGGTTTTCCACCCCGTGGACACTGAGAGGGCTTTTTTCACAGCAGCACGTTATCCTATAGACAAAAAGAGCAATTGTCTAGCCCCCAAACTAATAATTTATAAGAAAGCATTTCTCACTATACAAGGGATCCCCTAATTCAAATTTGTCTGTGTTCCATGAAACGATAACGCGCCCGTTTTTCCATACCCAACGTAGATTCGGCCTGGCACCGGACCTAACCTCTTCTGGAAAATTTGTGGGGGAATTGCTCGCCCGGATCCACCAAAGCAAAACCCCTTAGATGTCGGCTATCCCGCTACGTTAATGAAAAATTATATATAAAAAAAAGTAATTCGTTCTCGATCTCCATTCATAATGAAATGAAACTAAGACATCAAAATGTCCGAATCCCGACGAATACGTCACCAAAAAATCTTTACATCATCAAATAAGAGGCGGCTTCAAATATAGCCGGATAAACGAGCCAATGATATAATCTCTTTCAGATAAAACTGTCATTCATAATCAGATTTAGGCCTGTTAAAGTAGTCTTACCAGGCAACACGGCCATTGGTCTAACACGAGATGATTTGAATCTTCGTAAAATTAAACACAATCGGCGAGACACGTGGCAATAACTATTTATTGAACTGATAAGTGTACATAAAGTGCTCGATTTTTGTTTGTTTTTTTGGGCTGTTTCCGATCAGGAACACTCGAATAGCTTTGTTTCTTTTTGTAGTTTGTTGAACGATGCGATGGTTTATTAAAATATGAATATCACAATGAATCTGTTATGGACTCGGTCGACAACACCCCCCAAGGCACACACGCTACGAATGCAGAGAAGAGACGAATTTCACCGCACGAAAATAACAGTGACGTAGACGTTTTCGTCATTAACGGGATGAAGCGGAAATATCAGTGACGTCCGCACTCTGATCGCGTTAAAATATTGCGGATTTTCTTTTAAAATAATTCATGATGAACAACAATTAATTAAAATTCATTCGTGTAAAAAATACTCTTCAAATGGTCGACCGAGTGCCCCCTCGCCCGATATAAGATATGGCAGAACTCTACGAAGGTTGCATTGCATGCGCCTCCGAGAGACTTCTCGCGCTGTATTCTTTTTGTTTAAAATTTCATCAAAAAATTAATTTTTAAGACGGTTTACAAATTTATAAAACCTTCGATTAACCATTTAAAGAGTAAATTTGCCTGCAACTTTTTTTTTTTTAACCGTCGACGTCGACGTCGCTCGTGTCTTCGTTTTGCGCCGGTTGCTGACGCGATTTGGTAGCATCCTCCCCCCTCTGATCCACATCCTCCGCTTTGTGAGGGTTTCTGCATCCCCGACAGCGGCACTCGTAACACGCCTTGCTGCCCACGTAACAGGGGCATCTCTGCCCGCAACAGGTCAACTTTCCGGGATTGGGGGTGGCCAGACCGCACCTGCACCCCTTCTTCTTTAACCTAGACTTGGCGCTCCTGAAGGAGGAGGAGGATCTGGACTTCTTGCACGAGACGTCGACTTCGTTGTTGACGTCGGCGGCCGTCCTCTTGATCATGATCTTGTTGGAGTTGTCTTCGGAGACGGTGACGCTGTAGACTCCATTGGACAGTTCCTTAGTCTCGCCGTTGACCACCGGAGGAGGGGGAACGGGAAGCTGTTGCGAAGTAGCGCCATCTGTCGCCGCGGAAGGTAAACACTCGGCGGAGTCGGGGAGGGAGACTCCTTCTCGCACCAGTTCGGCCAAGTCGACGTTGGTCGCGTCGCTCAGCTGCGAGAATTTGAGAGGAAGCGACACGCTGGCGCAATATTCGCATAGTTTCTTGTACAATTGAAGCAATATTCTGAGATGGGTGTTCTCGCTGTACTTGCTATAGTCCTTACACCAGCTACACGAGGGTTTGATCTTCATCTTGCCCCCGATGCACGACTTGCAGACGGAATGTTGGCACGACGACGTGGTCGACGACATGGGCACGACGGGCAGATGATCGCACACGCAGCACGAGAGCGCCTGACGAAGGAACAACAGCAAGCGATCGATGTCTCCCGGATGCTCGTCGCCACTCCACTGTAAGATTCGCCTACAAGTTCTTACGTACAGACTTAATGCGTTCATATCCGAGAGAATTCCGGCACCGTTCCTTCTCGTACTGACGTTAATAAACCCGATCGAACCACCTTAGCAACAAAGGGAAGCCATTAATCCGACGACGTGCTAACCGCCCGTCGCGCACCCTGCCGGAATTTTTATTCGTTAAAATTACAAACGATATTTTTATTTATTTTTTTCTTTTCGTGTCTATAACTTTTTTTTTAATGTATTATTATTATTATTATTATTATATGGAGACGATTATTATTTAAATACATTTATTAGAATTTAAAAAAAAAATTTAAAATACGTTTTATTTACAAGGAGCCGCCGAATGTTGACTTTATAAATTTTGTTTTCGTTTTAAATTACAATTTCCTTCCTTTATTTTTGTTAAATAAACGCGATTATCTTCTTTATTTTCTTCGTAAACGTATGCTTTATATTTTGTTACAATACGATTTTATATTATCATCCACGTGTTTATTTTACAATGGGTGTCACGTTGCAAAGAATCGATTTTCGGAATTTCTACGTGAGCATAATCGATATCGACGAAAGTAATCATCTAACTGTTTCCGCGCGATTCTACATCCAAATAGTCAAGGATTTTCCCCTACGCTATTAAGAAATTACCGTAAAAATCTCCAGAATTTCCCCAAATTCGCTAGGGATCTCTTCGAGAATGACGGAATTGAGTCTATTTATACGTTAACCCCGTTGTTACTTCGGTCAATTTAGACGAAATTATAACAAAATTCGTATAATTTATTCCATACTTTTAAAAAAATAAACTTTATCGCTTTCTTTAAGTCCCGAAATCTTCGTTCTAAAGGCTGAAAAATCTTAAAATTTCTTAGTTTTAATATGGACGTAAAAATAAAAGATTTCTTATTCTAAAAGATCAATTTTTTTGCGTTATTTTCTAAAAAAAAAAAACAAAAAATTCCCGTAAAAACGGTCGAAGTTATCGTATAAAATGCACACCCGACCCGTAAGAAATCAGTATCGAGCGCTTCTTGCCGCTCGAAAGAAGTGACGATAAATTTATTCACTTTGTAATTAAATCAGAGATGAATTTTTAAATAATATAAGTGGATTTATTAAGCTTCTAATGTATCAAATGGTTGTTTATGACATTATTAAGTGAATAATATCAGGAAGTTTGACGTAATTTCCTTTCGAAGAACTGATTTCGTACTTGTCATCTGTCAATATTTCATTTTGATAGCGACTTCCCAAACCTTAAAAAAAAAAAAAACACCGAAATAGGCCGGATTTTTTAAAGAATCTAATGCCAAATTTTGCTAATTTCACATTATTTAACCTTGTATTTCTTAAAGATTAATCTAATTTCTCTTGCGGAGAGTTTATTTCTTTGGTGGTGCCAATAATAAACGACCATTTTAAAACACCCGAGGCCTGGAATTTTTATATTAAAATATCTCATTTAGATGCTTAAAATTAATCTAAAGACACGACCAAAACATTTAAAACCAAGTAAAACGTTTTATTTGACAATTTTTATCGAAAAAATGTCGAGGATTTAGCGCTGATCTACAATTTTATTTTATTTATTTTAAAGATTAACGCCGACAATTATTATTATTATTAGAATAAACAAAAAAAAATTATCTAACGAAAATAAGGCAAAATATACTTTAAATAATAAACTTGAGTATTATATTAACATAATTCTTCTCACCTTCATCCCTCGCTCCGATTGGGTTTACTGTTAGATCTATAAATTAAATATTAATTATGCAGATTGATTCCCTTCACAGTTAGATGATAGAAGCGTAATACTAGGATTTATTCGATGGAATGATTATTTATAATAATAATGCAATACTACACCACAATGGGGGGAAGAAACAATTAAGATTTTATACATAAATTACTCGGAAGAATCCTAAGATTTTGTGTCTGCACGATGATATATTTTTTCTTTCGCTTCCTTATACTTTCCTTTATATTAAATGACGTTTTTGGCTCTTTGTCGTATATATACATTGATTATAATTAATTTGGAAATGATATGTTAGGAACTGCAAAAGGTGTAGATCAAAACGCAGATCAGATTGTAAAAAATGATCATCCTATGTGATAGTGACGCGAGACGTCCTTTACTCGTTTGACACGAGGCGTGTAAACCTTGAAAGAAAAATGATTATTAAATTAGTAACACGTTCCATTTAAATTCCGGCTTGTTTATTTTGTAGTATAAGTTTAAATATAGTAATATAAATACATTTATTTTATTTATTCCCTACTATCTTTTAAGTAGCTATTACTTAATGTTTCCATACCTGTTTCTTTTAATTCTTTATTAGAATTTATAATCATTTTATTTTATTTATATCATTTTAAACTAGCATTTACAATACTTATAGTTTTTAATAACCTTCTCCTTCATTTTACCTCTTTTTTTTTTTTTAGTAGAATTTACATTATCAATTTAAACCCTATACTAATTTTATGCCAAAATTTATAACTTTTCTCTTCTCCTGAACCAAAATTTACAAATCTTTTCCTTCATTTTTTATCAGAATTAATAGAATTAATTGCTTACTGTGACCTAATAACAAGTGGGTGAATTATATATTAAAGATTAAGCAAAATAGGAAAACATTGCTATGACTATTACCTAAAATATTATTCTATTCAGATATAAAATAAACATTAATTTAAATTAATATTTAAAATGAACTTGAAAATATCAATAGATGTATATAAACAGCTGATAAAACAACATTTCATTCTAGAATCTATATTTTTCTGATATGCATCATTCAATGCTTTAAAAGACCTTGCTCCTTCATCATTATTAAAATGAAGGAATTATGCAATTAAAATTTGGAATTTTAATTAAATTACATTGGCTTGATTTAATTAGAATTATTAATTAATATAATTAGAAAATTTTCATTTTAATTGCTATTTTATAATGTGAAATGCTAAATAAATTATTTACTAAATTTCTGGGTTGTTCTAATTGTTCTAATGATATAATGTAGAAATTACTGAATATAGTTGTTCTTTAAACAACAGTATAACCCCAAGTATATTGTTTGTTATACTGTTATAAATTTAGGATTCTTGATTATATATTTATTTATTGATTTATAATTTTTCTAGAGTTCTATCCCTTACAAAATAATAAGGTAATGTTTACAGTTCTACTAGAGATTCAAATGTAAATATGATATTTACATCCATAATAACTGTAGCTCAATAGTGTCAAGGATATGAAAGATTCCGCTGTTATGTTTATTTTCGTGTCACGAACCGAAATTTCGTACATAATGTATGCATTTAATCCCAGTTACTTGAAAGAATATTGATATTATCATTATTAATATATATATATATAAAAAAAAAGGTACCAATTTTATTCTTGTGGGCTAAATACTGAATTAATTTTACGTAGAAAACTTTTTAGAAATTTATTCTCTAAATTCTCAAAAAGTTTCATTCAAATTGGAACGTTATAATATATTTTTGGTCGTGGATTTATAGGAGAATTATGAACCATCGAATATAAAATATAAACTCGAAAGCTGATTGGTGGTGATAGAAATGGTTCCGCTGCTATTGGTTGAATGTTTTTAAATTTTTAATTACGTTGCATCTTTTTTTGAATTCCGCCAATCGGAGAAGTTTTTAAAGTCGGATCTGTAACGTAACTATCGATATTTGTTACGTAAAGCTTTCGAGCTTTTGTTACTCGAATATAGTAAAAATATAATTAATCTTTTTAAGGTTTTTAATCTAATTATAGTTAGTAAATATGGCTTCAGATATATATGGAATGTTTTTAAGGAGTTCGTACGAATGAGCGTGCTTTGAAGGCTCATTTTTTACACATTTTGAATGTTATTCTACACGAGCTACATTAATTTTAGGGTGAAGATGAAATTAGATCCTTCAAATTTTCTGCCTGTTAAATGATCGAAGAGGAAACTTACTTGTTTTAGCTTCTAATTGAGGTAAATAATCATTCCAAAAAGCACAATATTTCGTTCTTAGTCCCTCTCTAACGGTTGGATTCGTGCTCAGAACTAAATATTTCTCTTCGTGGATCTTGTACCGAGGCCATATCGTGGTAACGTTTACGGGAAGATTAACATCCCTGAAAGAAAAAAAATATATATCGTTTCAAATGGTTTTATTTGTCATCTTAATTAAGATTTATAGGGAGTCGAAAAGCAGAAATGCGGATTAAATTGAATTTAATTAAAATTGAACGCTAATTATAATGATTGCGGGAGATTCTAAATATAGTTTTGGACTATCGGGCAGACAAAACAGATGAAGTTGGCGACAAATATCCTCCATCAAGTAGAACGGGATATGGAAGTCAATTTACTTTTCACATGGAAAACCCTCGTACGGATACACTGTTAATACTTATGAGATCATTAGCGACTTCGCCGTACAAATATTTTTAATTAAAAATATCTAAGGTGATTAATTAAGGAATTTCAATTAAGTAAATAGAAAGATGTAGAGATTTTCTTGCAAAATGATGAATTTTATAAGTATTTTGTGCACTTGTAAAACTCATTACTTTGCTCCGTGTGAACCCCTTCCGAGATTCAATTGATAAAACATAGAAAATTTAAATTCGTTCTTACCCACTTTTGGCAAAGTTTGTCCAATAAATGATCATATTCTTGCTGAGTTCTTTCTCTTCGCTCGTGTAACTCTTTCCAGGAAAATAGGGTTCCCCGAATACGTAAGGTATCTCGTCACCGTGTATAACACCCATCCAACGTGGCCAAAGATTGTTAGACGATCGATGCGTGAAGTAAAATAAGTAGATGTGCGATTCGTATTTTGCCAGAGCTTTGATCACTTGATTAACCGGGCAAGTGAAATATTTGTCACCTACCAGTTTGTCTAAGCTATCGAGGACTTTGGAGTCGTCAAAGTTCAACCAATCCTTGTACTGAAATTCGAGGGTGGACAAGATCAAAGGCGAAAAGTGAGGAAAACTGAGGGAAACGATTTCTGTAAAGTTGCTCTGAGATATGTGAATGGTTTCTTCTTTATGAAAGTTGTCTGGAAGTCCATAAAGAAGAAAGTAGGATCCTTCTTCGTGGTTATTTCCGGCAATGGCGGGGCAAATTTTAAAATCGCCTTGTTGTATGTGTTCGGACGGTGTTTTGTTTAGAAAATGTCCATCCACGATCGGAACGAACGGAAATTCGACTAATTCCATAACGCCAGGAGCTTCTAGAGATTTAATGACGTCGGAGGGATGCTTTTCTCTTAAGCAATCCATCAGAGAGTCGAGCCGCGATTTCTTATGAGGGCAACCGAGTTGTTGGGCCAATTTGAATCCGTTGGCCTTTACTCTGTCGGCAGACATGAAGGCCCACGACGAAACTGCCGCTCCGCTCTGTAAGACGATTCTATGGAACAGATGTCTGCTCAGATGAGACAGGTGATGCAGGCTGATCGATGCCGCACCCGCACTCTCTCCGAACAGAGTGACTCTATCGGGATCTCCTCCGAATTGTTTTATATTGTTTTGTATCCACTCCAGAGCCAAAATTTGGTCGAAAATACCAGCGTTTCCTGGGGCATCCTTTCGGCCGAAGTACAAAAATCCCAACGATCCCACTCGATAGTTTATGCTCACCACCACGACGTTACCTATCGAAGCTAAAACTTCACTATTGTAAATGTCTAAAGTGGGCGTGCCGGAGGTAAATCCACCCCCGAAGATCCATACCATAACGGCTAGCAGTCCCTCTCCTACGTCACTTTCCGGCACCCACACGTTAAGTTTCAAACAGTCTTCGTTCATTTCCGTGTTAGGGTTCCACATATTGGATCCGGAAAAGTTGCCAAAAAGATCGTCTCTGACCTGCCAACAGGAATAGGGTTTTTCGGTAGCGTCCAAAACGTCCTTCCACGGTTTAACGGGAACGGGATGACGAAATCTTAAATTTCCAACAGGTGGTTGGGCGTAAGGTATACCGTAGTAAACTTTGACCTTACTTCCTTCTTGAGTGAAGACACGCGTACCCCTGACTTTACCAGACTTGGTCTCCACCACCAGCGAGTTATCCGCAAGCAGGATCATCTGACTAAAGACGAACAGGGATAAGACGATTCCCAATTTCGAGTGGCGTGACATTTCGCACCTGAAAGAAAAACGGCGCTTTAAATCTGGGGGATGGTCGAAAAACTAATAAGGTAAGAAGTGGAAGCGTTAAAGTGTATGTACCTTAAATAGTATAATACAGTTTTAATGTTCTGAGTCGGAGATCAGCGTTCTAGTTGAGCATTTGCAGGAAATTGCTGGAGCTCGGAAACTGTTAATAACGAATGTCCTTGGCGTAGGATCCACGTGATATGGGAAGCAGTATCGTGTCCAGTTCTCTCGACGACAATGCAGGAAACTCATATCCGAAAATTTCTAATTATACCCTCGTGGCTTACATTTTCTACGTACGAAAAAAACGTTATCGTCCAGCGCTAACTCCCTTTTCTTCTTCGTTGGCTCACCGATTATGCGCTTTAATTAAAATTTACCAACAATTAACGACACACACACACACAAAAAAAAACATATTAAATTAATTATTAATTATAATATATTAAATTACGATAATATTCGTTCACGTTACTCGTTAATGGGAATATATTTTTGGATTTCTTCGATATTAGAATGGATATTTATAGATTTCCGCTCTGAATGCAAATTAGGAGGGATGAGATTCGGAATTGCCAAAAAACACGAACATGGTAATGAGCATAGCTGGCAAAATTCCAGCAAAAGATCGCAATTGACTTTACTAATCATCGATAAACATTCGATTAGCATTAAAATGGTAACAACGATAAGATTTTCTGCATCGTTTCGTACGTTACAACGCGTTACGTTGTAAAGCACTTACCAAAGGTCTGTCTGGTTAACCTGCCGTCTGAAGACAACATCCCAGATACTGACATTCGCCCGGAATGACGTCAGAAGCGCCACCGAGCGAGGGGGATGGAAATGATCACGTGTCTGACTGCACACATCGTTGGAAATGCACTCTGTAATACGATCTTTCAACAACATCGAACGGGTTAAACGAAATATATATATTTATCGATTTAAAAATATATTTCGTGTCGTATTTTATACGTAAGATAATACGTACGAGTCGATATATTATGCTCACCCCTCTACGTTTAGTTAATTAATTTATTTATTTATTCTCGTTATAACGAAGGAGAATGTTATAGCGGGAGTGTATTCAAAATTTCATTACAATCGGGTTAACCACGTTTAAACAGTCGTGCAGAACGGGTGTTGATTCTATCGATCGAATGTCGGAATTAAGAACGTTGAAAGTCGATATTTGCTCTATAATCTTTTAATTCGTGTTGCTCGAATAATTTATTTTAATAATTTTATCGATTCGATTTAATTTGTTTACTCCCGATCTATTAATTATGACGTCTAACGAGACGATGTTGGCTTATGACGTCCTCCGTGCAAACCCCCTCCGTATGTCAATAAAGGTCGTGTATAGGATCGTGTGTGGTGACGTGGTAGCCACGTTAAGTCCACGTTTTCTAGATAAAGACTTATATATTCCACCCCTTATCACCGATCTCTAAATAAATGGCTACTTGTTTTGAAAAGCGATCGATTTAAATCATCAGATTGTTACCACGCGTTTCAAAAATAGACATTTCCCCCCTTTAAAAAATGCACTATTACGGGGTATTTTTCTTATTTTATTCACGCAACCTCGTTTTTACGCATTTGAGAAATTGCATTAAATTCTTAACAACATTACATAGCTTTAGAGCAACTTTTAATGCGAGTTTTGTTGCTATATTCGGGTATTTTGCGCGACATTTTCAATAAAGTATTGATAACAGTTACGTTAAAAGAATATAAATATACGTATACGTAATATAAACAAGAAGTATACTGAGTTATCTTTCAACAGAAGGGCATATATATATATACCTATTTTTACTACATTAGAGTCTCATAAATCTTATAATTCGTGGGTAGATGATGCATAGATTCTCTTAGAAATCGAAAGGCCCGTGATATTTACTTTTACGAGGTTCCAACATATTAAAAATACTTGTATTAGGCCCTATATTCTTTTAAAATAAATCAGATTAAAATAATAATAATAATAATAATAGCAATAATAATGGTTTGTTTCTCGATACGTTAGACACACAACGGAATTATTAGTTTGTAACACGTGTTTCTGAGGCCATTGTAAATATGGAAACGGGTCGAATGGAACTTCAGTGATGAGGCCTGATAAATAGTTTTATAATTGAAATAGTTAAAGTATCCTTTCAAAGTCTCGTTTAAAATATTTCCAGTTAAAATGTTATGGATAAAAAAACTTCCTCTTGTTAATGTAGTGTTAAAACACTGCTAATACTTGTCACTTTTAGCTTCTTGCAAGGAGCATGAAGAGTGATAACAACACTGTTAGCTCTTATTTGCCACTTTTAGCGCCCCGTTATCACTGAAAATGTATAACAATAGTGTTAAGGCAACAATAACGTAACAGAATCGATACTAGGGGAATCGGAATTAGAACCTGCAAACCTGCATTCACTCCTACATCACTGAATGTAACTACTAGCTCTGTGGTTGAAAAGTAAACCCTTAGATAATGTGTGTTATATACGTATATATAAATACGCTTGTCACATTCGAATCTTCTTCCTGGTCTCCTGAACCTTCTCCAGAGAATAAAAGTGATAACGAGGAGCTAAAATAACACATTTAGCTCCTTATCATCACTATAACTCCTTGTATATCGCTCTTTAGTTGTACGTGCTCCTTCTTGCAATAAGCTGAAAATGATAACAAGGCTTGTTAGCTCTTCTTCATCACATTTAACTTCTTGCACAGAAGATAAAGCATTTTATAATATGCAAAACGTGTTAAATTGATTTAATAAGATTTTTATAACTTAATAGGATATTAACATAATTTTTTGAACGTTTTGCTATATAAAATTGACCAATCGCGTAACTTTACGAAGAAAATGCTTTTAGCGCGATACGTCGTAATTTGCATACGCCGCAACGCGAAGCGAACCAAAGACGAGGATGCAAACAGTTACACCATCTTTTTCTGAAGTAATTAATTAGAAAAATAAAACAATATCACACAAAATAAAAATAATATTTATGTTTTTCGACAAAATTCTATGTGCCTTTTCATAAAATTGCATACAACAGTCTTTCTGATGATGATGCTGTCAAGAAAGTAAAACTTCACCGATTTTTCCTACGTTGCAAATGAGAACTATAAGGAGAAAGATTTGTTCTGTTGTCCAAAATGGTCCCAAATGATTCCTTTCAGAGGATACAATAACTTTCAAATTCCATATTTCGAACTGAAAATATTGTATCCAACTACAGTCGAATCTCTGGCGGCCATTTTTTTTTTAAATCAGGAATGCGCATACAATGAATGACCTCCAAATAATGACTAATTTTTATGTTCTCATCAGTGGTTTATGTTTACACAGTAAAAACGACAGCGACGAAGCATTGGTATCACACTTTAAACCTCTTATTTCAGATTACAATGGGATTAAATATCGCTTTTCTGTATACATGTATAGTTGTTTCTCACTAACAGTAGATAAGTATTGAAAATCTAGTGAAAACTATATAAATCTACCAAAAAAAAGGCTCTCTTAGTGCCCATATGGTGGAAAGAGCCAAAAATAATAAAAAAAAGCCTACTTTCGAGACTGCTTTCCTCCTTTCCACTGGGTGTATATTCAAATAAATTAATATAATTAAATTTAAACTATACTGAGTGACACAAGTCAGTTAACTATTACTAAAATATACAGTATTTTGAGATTAAGAATGATTTGGTTAGCTGTTTGTGATTGTTACTTCCAATATTTCTTGTCTAACTTTGTTTTTGGCCACTGTATATTTGACACATTAAATATAATTGTCAAATATACAGAGAAAAATATATAAACAAAAGAATAAACTTTCAAGATTTTTACTTTTTAAATTTTTTCTGCATTTTAGTTTGAAATGCAAGTGGCCCATCAAGGGGTCGAGTGGCTAAAATCACTGAATATTGGTAGTTGGTCCCGAGTTTGTGCCTTGCTAATGGGCTGGCCGTATGGCTTTTCCAGGTTTTCGTCATATGTGTAACATCTAAATAGGGCCAGTTTCCAATACAAAGTCCTCCCAGGAGGCATACCCCCTTGGTAGATTGTCCATGTGTTTGCATTGTCTTACTAGGTCAATAATCCAATCCAAATGAAAGTGAAATTAATCATAAATAATTTTTCAAAAATTAATAACAAAAATTGCTTTATTGGAGTCATTTACATTAAGTAATAGTTTCTGGCATGGGTGCCCACAAGGAGGACAAATGGGGCACTTGCTCTCTCTTAAGATCAAGTAAAATATTCCACAAATTATAATCATAAAAGTAATTGAGATATGTGACCTTACACCCTAGACCATTGGATAGTTTAATGCAATACTATATTTACTTGAGAAGATTATAAATTACTTGTATAATTTACAATATTATGCCAAGGGACAGTTTCCTGTGAAACAACTGTAAAATTTAAAAGAACTTTAGTACTTATAAGACCTCTTCTTGTCTGGATATATATAGTTTTACAGTTGGGCATGGAGGCATACAGGACTGCATGCTCTTCTGCAATAGATTTCTCCAAGGATGTTGCATCTGCCACATTCCAGATCCTTTACATTTGTAGATGACTGAAGCTGGTGTGTCCCATCTGGTTCTACGGGTGACAAATCAAAATTGGGCAGCTAGGAGTGTTTTCATCATATTGTCTTATGGCAATATGATAAAAGCACTCCTGGGAAATAGCTGAGCATTGCTGCAAATGAAAGATAATATGTGGGTCAGAATTTTCTGAATGTATTGCCTTGCTGTCGACATCCCTCACATATTAGAAGTGACTGACTATCATATGAGAAGGCAGATGGATGGGGATAATATGTCACTCAGCAGTAAAGGTGTGCTGAAGCACCTAGCAACAGTGATCCTGTATCAGTGGCGTAGCTAGGGTTCTCCGGGCCCGGTTCAAAATCAGATTTGTGGGCCCCTGTAAACAGGCTAAAACATTTTTGTGTAGTGGTTTATATAGTGTATAACTAGATTAGAATTGAGTTGATATTTTCCTGTGTAATAGGGGCCCCCAGCAGCTCGAGCAGCCAAATGCCAAATTTTGCTTTGTTCTGATTGCCATGAAAAATTTTTTGGTTCTTTTTTTCCTTATGATTTTGGGACCCCATGGACCTATTGCTTTCCAGGGGCCCAGTGCAGACCGCACCTACCGCACCCCCTAGCTACGCCACTGTCCTGTACACTCTAATTTGGTGATTGTGCATTCCCATTGATTCATCATTATAAATGATATATTGCCATAATCATTTACTTACTTGTCTGAGACATAGCTGTATGCTGAGTTCTTCAGTAATAAAGCAATTCTATCTTGGTACATAAAATCAATTATATTGAAATCATCATAAATTATTTATATAAATAATAAATAAATAAAAACAAGAATGATTCTATCTAAATTAAATGCATGCATAAAGTAATTTATAATAAAAAGAAGATTGTATATATCAAATTAAATATTTTAATTTTAAATAAAAACTTAATAAAATTATTTAGGTTTTCTATGATATTGTCCTTTTACACAGACCTGGCAAAGTCTGTGTAAAAGGACAATACCATGGAAATGATATAGGATTTGATTAATAAAATAGCCTAAATATTACATATTTTAAAGCAAATTACTATATAAATTTGTTGGGATTAGGCCGATAACTATTGCCTCTGTTCCTCTCACTCTACATTCTGAACCATGGTCAACGTTTCCTTATAAAGTAGAAATAATCACTGTAGATTACTAACAAAGTAAGCAATACACCTTTAACAATGGGTAAGGTTTGAGAAACACTAATGTTTT